GTGAACTAACTGTTAGATTATGTTCCTCTGATTTTGTAGTTTTTGTTTTTTTCTTGTGAGGTTTGGAGATAGTGTTTGTTTTTGTGGATAACGGAGGAAACATTTGGTTAGACGCTGGTTCGGGTGTACTTGCTGAAGATAAAAGAGAAGGAATATCAGAATTGCTGTCTGGTGATATAGCTCTTTTTTGTTTAGTTGTTTTGTGTTTTAGAGGTAAATTTACATGATATTTTTGATATTTTTTCGAGATGTACTATGATTTTTATTTTTCTTTCGACGATACTGAATTATAAAATAACTATGTCTTACGAAAAAGAGCAGGTAAGGTTAAAACGTTTATGGGCGGACTTTGGCAGTATTTCTGACGATGATAAATCGTCATTGATAGTGAATCTGAAGAAGAACAAACTGCACTAGAAAGTCAAGAGGCAATCATATTGGAAGAAGCCGTTCAAGGAGAGACAGCTCGCAAAAGAAAGGATTCTGAAAAAGAAAGTGAATTTGCAGGTGGTTCAGAAAGTGGTAGTAAAATTATGGTAAGAGATAATTTTTAGATAAAGACAAATCAAAATTGTTCAAGCTTCCAAAAAACAAACAAGTGAGAACAAGGTCGGACAATCCAATTACATATTTACCTGGTGTAAAAGGAGTACCACGAGAGAAGCAGAGTGTTCTTGATTCTTCTTCTTCTTCTGGTAGCACTACAACCCGGGGTGGGTCTTGGCTGACTGCACAACCTGCTTCCATCTCGAACGGTCGTCCATGATGTTTAAGTCAGTGGGTAGCCCCATTGTTCTCAAATCTGACCATATATTATCTCTCCATCGCATTCGTGGACGTCCTAAGGGCCTTCTCCCTGTCGGGACTTCTTCCCAGATTAACTTGGTAAGGCGGTTATTAGGGAGCCTATGAACATGGCCAGCCCATCTTAGACGTTGGGATTTAATCTCTTGGACTACGTCGCTAGCACTATACATTTGTTTGACCTCGGCATTTGTTCTCATTCGGTATTGGTTAGTATTCGGATCGTGATAGGGACCGAAGATCTTTCTGAGGATTTTTCTCTCAAAGCATCTGAGTTTACTTTCCATTGCTTTTGTCAGCGTCCACGTCTCACACCCATACATGAGCACCGGTCTAATTACTGTTTTATATATCCTGATTTTTGATGTTCGTGTTAGGCTCTTGGATTTAATAGTGTTGTGGAGGCTATACATACATCTGTTTGCTGCCTGAATTCTCCCTTTTATCTCTTCCGTGATATCGTTATCTGTGGTGATAGTCGCTCCGAGATATTTAAAACTCTCCACTCTTTCAAAGTTATAGGGGTCTATTGTTACATTTTTTCCTATTCTATCTCGTCTCTTTTGTCTGTTAATGCACATATATTTGGTTTTCTCTTCATTAACCCTTAGACCGGTATTTTTTGCCTCTCTCTAATTTATTGAAGGTTTCTTTTACATTGGTGACGGTATTTCCTACAATGTCAATGTCATCCGCGTATGCTAGTAGTAATTTTGGTCCATTTACTGTCAGTAGTTCTGTTCTAATTTGTGCGGTTCTTACTACTTTTTCCAGCATTATATTAAAAAGAAGAGGTGACAGCGCGTCTCCTTGTTTCAGTCCACTGTTTCTTTCAAACGACTCTGAGAGCTTGTTACCTATCCGCACTCTAGATCTACAGCCATTTACACAAACTTTAACGAGCTGGATAAGTTTTTTTGGAACTGAAAGTTCTGTCATTGCATTCCACATCTGATCCCTTTTAATGCTGTCGTATGCTTGTCGGAAATCTATGAAGAGATTATGAATGGTTCTATTGAATTCCCATCCTTTTTCAAGCAGCTGCCTGAGAGTAAAAATCTGATCTATGGTCGATCTATTTTTTCTGAATCCGGCTTGGTATTCCCCTATGAAATTTTCTACAAAAGGTGTTAGTCTACTTAATAGGATGTTCGATAAGATTTTGTACGCCGTATTAAGTAGGGAGATGCCTCTATAGTTAGAGCACTTGGTTTTGTCTCCCTTTTTATGGATAGGAATTATTACACTTTCGTGCCATTTTGTTGGTATTTTCTCTTCGTTCCATATAAGTGTTATTAGTTTGTGTAATTGTCTATGTAAAGTTTCTCCTCCGTACTTAAGAAATTCGGCTGGTATATTGTCAGAGCCTGGAGCTTTTGCGTTCTTCAATTTGTTAATTGCTTGCAATGTTTCGTCTATTTTTGGGTACTCTACCGGTAGGTCCACCCCAAGATATATATCCTCTCCATGTTCTTCATCTTGGTGTATATTAAGTAAATTTTTGAAATATTCTTGCCATGTTTGGAGTAATTCTTCTTCGTTGATTATTAATTCATCAGAGTGTTCTTGATTGCTAGTTATTATTCTTTATAGAAAAAAAAAATGTTATATAATGACAAACTAGAAATCAAAGTTGTTATAGGCCTGCTCTATTTGACGGGACTTTACAAGTCAAACCGACAAAATATTTCAGATCTTTGGAATACTGATGGCAGCGGTATTGATCTCATTCGAACAACAATGTCACAACAAAGATTTTCCATTTTGTTGCAATGGTTGCGATTCGACAATGTGCAAAATAGAGTAGAACGGAAACAGATCGACAACTTGGCAGCAATTAGATTTATATTTAATCAACTCGTCAACTCTAAGGCACACTATATACCAAGTCAACATCTTACAATACACGAAAAACTGGAATCGTTCAGAGGACGTGTGTCATTTCTTCAATCTTCTTCTTCGTCAACCATTTTCCATCCACTCCTGAATGTAGGTCTCTCCCAATTGCTTCCATCTTTCTCTATCTTGCGCCAATCTAATCCACTGTTTGCCTGCCACTGCTCTTATGTCATCTACCCATCTTTTTTGAGGTCTTCCCATGCTTCTTGTTGTCGTCCTTGGTCTCCATTCTAGAATTCTCCGTGTCCACCTGTTGTCATTATATCGGGCTACGTGACCTGCCCAGCGCCATTTCATTTTTGTAATTTCTTCCACAATATCCCTAATCTTCGTTCTACGTCTTATCTCGGTGTTTCTAATCTTGTCTCTTAGTGATATTCCAAGCATGATTCGTTCCATTGCTCTTTGCGTTGTTTCTAATTTTTTGGCAGATTTTTTTGGTAAGTGCTACTGTCTCCAAGCCGTAGGTACAAACAGGTAGTATGCATGTATTATACACCTTTTTCTTTAAGTTTATAGGAATGGAGGTGTTTTTCAAGATATGTGCTAGTTTGCCGAAAGCGCCCCAAGCCAGTTGTGTTCTTCTTTTAATTTCAGCATCTTGATTTGCTTTTCCTAGTTTAATAACATGACCTAGATATACATAATGTTCCACATTTTCTATGGTATGATTTTGTATTGTTATATTTGTCTGGTCTCGGCTCAGTATTTTTGTTTTGCTGTAATTCATTTTTAAGCCTACCGCTCCTGAAACTGCATTTAATTGTTGTAACATATCATTTAGTTCTTGGATATTATCGGCTATTAAAACTATGTCATCTGCGAATCTCAAGTGGTTTAAGTATGATCCGTCGACGTTGATACCCTTATTGTTCCATTCCAGTTTCTTAAAAATATCTTCTAGAGCAAGGGTAAATAGTTTGGGAGAGATGGTGTCTCCTTGTCTTACTCCCCGTTGTAGTCTTATGGGATTAGTTTTTGTGCTTTCGTCCAGCTTTATATGCATGGTGGCATTTTCATATATGTTTTTAATTATGTTAATGTATCTTGAATCTATGCGTGCATTTTCTAGAGATTCAAGCACTGCCCATAATTCGATGGAATCGAATGCTTTATGGAAATCGACGAACGCCATATGAATTGGAACATTATACTCGGTGCATTTTTCTATCAGTGTTCTTACGGTGTGCAAGTGGTCTATGGTATTAAAATGTTTTCTGAATCCAGCCTGCTCGATAGGTTGATAGAAATCGAGCTTATGTGTTAGGCGGTTGGTTATGATTTTAGTTAGTAATTTATACAGATGTGATAGCAAGGATATTGGTCGGTAATTCTCGATGTTTGCTCTGTTTCCTTTCTTGAATAGTAAAATGACCTCGAAGTTGTACCATTCTTGAGGAATCTTTCCTTCATCAATTACTTTATTAAATAAAACATTTAATACCTGTTTCATTTTTCTACCACCAATTTTCAACATTTCAACTGTAATCTTATCCTCTCCCGGACATTTATTCGTTTTAAGTTGATTTAGGGCCATTCTTATTTCACAGTCGGTTATGTCCGGTATTTCTTCTGAGCCGGTGTTAATTATTGTTCGTTGAGTACGTCGTTGTTGTGGTTGTGTATTTACCGAGTATAGTTGAGTGTAGAATTTTTCAATGGCCTCGCTTATTTCCTTTTTTTCTCTGACGATGACGATTTCTTCAATACATACGCCAACGAAGTAGAGAAATAGAAAATATACATAAGCGAAAAGAAAAGAGAACACGGCTGGCACTCCAAGCTAGTGTAAAATTAATAAATGTTTACTTTTTGATAACCACCCCAATGGAACGTGTCCCCTTAAGTTTGAGGGTTTATTTTAGTTTTGTCCACCTGTGTTGCTGGTAAAAATATTACCAAGTTAGGTTATTTATACAATGATAAAAATTGCAATGCAACTTCGTTAGACTCCATAGTAAAATTACCACGTCACTGATCATATCTATCCCTAGTCATGTCGGAAGCGTTGGAGGTGTAAGTACGTGCTATACATCAGCTTCTAACTTCTTTTGAACCGTGTTGATTTACCGACAAATGACTGAAATGCATGCGTTGACTGTAAATAGACAGTGTTGCCCTATCCCAGGGATCATAAATCAAAAAAATATTGAGGCTAAAAACTTGGTGGAATCAGATTTCAAGTTTATGATGCTGTTGTTTTATTTGATGTTTCTACAGATATTCTGTCATATCTCAAATTAAGTGGAAACTCTCGTAATTATGGATAATTTGTATAAAATATGTCTTTTTTTTAGGAGCCAGATAAATTTATGTCGCAGCTTGGAGTACTTACGAATATTATCGATCAGCTATACTATCCCATTGAAAAAATGTCGTGGTTTGCAGAACATAAACTTATAACTGGTGTGGATAATAATAAATGGGATACTGCCAGTTCTGTGTGTTGGGTCATTTCCACCTACTTGACCCTTGTAAAGTGAGTTACTAGTAATTAAAATTCGTGAAATTATTCAATTTTTAAATTGCTTTCTAAAAAGATCGATAGTAAATCGTCTGGATCGTATAATAGTAAACAAACTATATTATATATAGCATAAAGTTCTAGTGATAATTATTAAACAAAAGTCGGTGATATTTTTGTTACTGTATTTCAGGTGTTCTAGTCTAAGAAATGTGCAAGCTCTGGTTACATCGTTGGAGTTATATTCTGTGGTATCTTGTTCTGTATTAAATCTTGTGTCTGTATTAGTCTCCAGTAATCTGAGAATACTCCGTGTTCTATGCCACAGTTTTCGTTCTCCCTACATTTTTCAACGCCTCCAAATTTGTCGATATTTCGTCCTTTATACACATACACACGCCATAGACAATCCGATCTCAAAACACATCTGAGCCCTTCTGTATATTTGTAAATTAACAACATTCCTGCCTTGTGTATCAAGAGTGATCCTACACTCCTTAATCTATAAAATATTGTAGCGATGGATAGCCTCAGGTGCTTTTTTCCGCTGAGTTGTTTGTAATTATCTCGTTGTGTATTGCCTCTTTGTCATCAGCCAATTTATAACCTACATGCACCTTATTTAAAACTGTGGAATGTTTGTTCTGCTTAGAGGTAGTCTTCAATTATTATTTCGATTTTAAATAATATTTTTTTCCCTAAGCTAGTGGCACTGGCAAAGCCAAAAGTCCAATAAATAACACATAAATGTTAGTTATTCTTACTTTCTGCAGGGGAGCTGTAAGTAAATTCTGATGCACTTGCAGTCATCAAAATATACATATAGGCTGTATTTAGAGTGATTTTTAAATCAGTATTATTTATTTTTTTCATTTGAAATTTATTTTTAATGTTATTTAATATTATACTCTAATGTAAAATTTATTTTTTAGGACTCTAAGATATATTGCCGTATTAGAAAAACATAAAAACTCTGTATTGCCATTACAAAGGTAAGGAGTATTTGGAATTTTTACTTGACTATATATGTGAAATTCAATTTTCTACAATCACTTTCGCACTAAGCCAATGTGCAGAATCTCAGTATCGAATTTCATTGTGATTTACATCGGAATTAGAACTGTTGTGCTTTAAAATTAGTAGTGATCTGCTTTTTGTAATACGCCAAGTCAAATTCCAAGTAATCTGCTATCCTAAGTTGCTGAGTACCCTAAAAAGCACAAATTAATATGGACATCTTGAGAAAATATACTGCTCACCAAAAGAAGAGAATTATCGATAATATATGTAAGAACATATCTAGGAGCGAATGCTGAGTCAAACACCTAAATAAAAAATAAAAATCGGCAGTATCAAAGTCAATGGAATGCGACTAAATCAAAAGATAATAATCTGGAGAAACTGTACACGGATAAGATTAAGGGACTATTAGAAAATACTTCTAATTACCGAACTGAAATAGAAGAAACCTGAAATAAAATAAAGAACATAATACAACTGGTAACGGAAGAAATAATTGGAAAGAAAACAACCAAAAAAGACTGGTATAATAAAAATTGTAAGAGCATAAATGAAGAAAAAACAGAGCAAGGTCAGTATGGATCAGAGTGAATAGAGGGGAAGATAAGAAGAAATATAAAGAACCAACTATAAACCAAAGACAAGTTTCATTAAACATCAAGAAGAAAAAGTTATTGAAGATGATGAACAATACACAAGTCGCGGTTGTTTATTTAGTTATACTTTATTCGAACCTGTCATAGGTCCTATATATCCATAGGATGTTCCCTATTTTAATCGTGCCGTGTAGGAGCAGAACTTCTTCACCCAGTCTGTTGGGCGGAAGCGAAATCAGTCCCACACAGGCATGGGTGTTTTTCAGTTAAATATTTCCTTAATTCTTATCAAAACAATCTTAAACCATCGTTATGAATTTTTACGTTTCCAAAACTATTTTTTAAAAGCTCATCAAAAATAATATGAATAAATTTGACGTTTTTGCATGTTGCTATATAGATGAAAAGGTAAATAAAAGTTTAGCTAGATGCAAACTTTCCTATTCCAATTTATCCACTAGCAACGTATGTTTTTATGAATTTTAAAATAAAAGTTTTATAAAGTTTAATTTTATGAGTTTCAAATAAAAAGTAAGTTTGTGAGTAAATTTTAATTATTTTATAATTTATTTTCAGCATTCCTATAGAAAAAGTACTATTGACTCAAAAGTATGAAATCCTCACCGCTATAAGACTGTGCTTGGACTTTATTCATGCAGTAAACACATTACCCCCAGGATTCTTATGGTCGTCCAAACTGAAAGTATGGCATGTGGGATTTATAGGTACTTTGTCGTCTTTATTAGGAATTTATCAAATCTTTTATAAAAGATCATTGAAATAAACTAAATAATCTCCTAGAAGACAATATGTATGGAGGTTTCATATGTAATGAAACGGATTTAGGTGAATTACTTAATGGTGATTTTTAAAGTTAAAAATAGGTTTTATTATATAATAACGTGATCAACTTCAACTAATATTAAAGTATTAGTCTTAATTTGTAATTTTAAAACAGAAAATAACACTGTAGCTAAAAAAAATCATAAAATAATTAAGTTCTCTTGGGATGTAATAAGCTACCAACAGTTACTGTTAATGAGATAAACATTTTTAAATATTTAGTTTAAATTACTAAATCTTTATCTTATATTTCTTGTTTAAAAATCCACTGGTCATATTTGGCTAGCATACAATTTTCGCTTATGAATTTCATGGTGTAGGTACTCCTTTAAATTGACTCTAGCGGCGTTTCTTAAATGTTCTTTCATCTTAAAAGATGAAGAACTCGCACTCAACACAAAAAATAAAGTTCAAATTCCAACGGTAAGAGACCAGCAGATCAAAAAAGTACATAAAAGTGGAACTGAAAAACCATGTGCTCACTGTATAAAAATAAAAAAGGTTTGATGTAACAGAGATTTGACATTAGCAAAATAATAGAAATATATGAGCCTAAATAGACGGCAATGTGAAGACTTATGAGCTATGGATGTATAGAAGGATTCTGAAGATCCCATTACGAACTTTAATGTGTTAATACGAATGAAGAAGGAAAAAAAAGTTTATCGGACAATAAAAAAAAGAAAACCACAATATTTCAGACATAGCTCATAATATTAGATCACAATAGGCAAAATAGAGAACAGAAAAAGTGTTGGAAGACTAAAAACTTAGCTGAGGAACGTAAGAGACTACGGTGGTTGCTGCTCAAAACAAATCTTTCGAGCAGTAGTTTCGAAAGTTAGAGTGGCCATAACGATATTGTCAACCTCGGTAACTTGAAGAGATGGCACTTGAAAAATTAGAAGATATTTTAGTGTGTATGATACACTACACGTGCCAAAAATTGATACATCAGGGCACAATTTCGATTGGTTACTTTTTCTGCGGACTCTTGGAAGAGATCAAGTATCTTCATGACTTCCCTTTGTATCGTGTAACCTATAGGTTCATTCATCTCGGAAAACTCGTGATTTTTTCGCTAACAAAATTTTCATCGTGAAATAATTGTGAAGCGTCAATATTGCAATATACATTAAACTTTGTTCATATAGCACTTCCTCATATTCTGCTTCCAGAATCAAGAACTATAAATACATTGTTAAGTTTTTGTATTCAAAACCAGAAACTGAATGTACCAATATACTAGTATATTATTTCTCTTTAAGTCCGTTGTAGTTCAGGAATGACATTTCTATGTCGTCACAATACTTTTTAAAAATCCCCAAACGCAAACGATAATTTTCAGCATCATCATCAGATGGAGCTACAAGCCTTCTAGAGACGCCTTTGTCGAATGCCAGTCTTCTCCATCACCTCACTCCAATCTCTCAAATCTTCCTGCACATTGCCACCTCGTTTCCACCTGTTTGTTGTTTAGAACATTTATTTTAGCAGGGTTACTTCCACCCATCTCAGGCGGTTTATTTGGACGGTTTTAAAAATATCTGCTTCATCAAAAAGGCTAAAAGGTTAAAAATTTTCTTCTTGGCTGAAGCCTTCTATGGCTTCGATGGCCTTTTGGTACATAGTAAGAATAAAGTATATGTTTCTCTCTATGTCGATTTATTCAACAACACTGTTAGGTAACTACGCCTTATATCTTCAGTATTTTTCATTCAAATATTCGCAGCTCCTCCCACGTCGTCATAATCCATATTTCCGATCCGTTTCATGTTGTATCACTAAGTTGTTTTGTTGAATTTTTGATGATGCCAGCATATATTTAGTTTTCTGCCGTATATGTCATTATTTGTAGTTTTCTGGTGTAATCATACCCTTTAAGTTCATTCTCGAGTCTCTTACAACTTTCCACAACGCCAGGTTGACTAGTGCACATGATAGCATGTCTCCCCGGCAAAGTCCTATGTTAGTTTTAAGTGTTTCAGAGATATAGCTTTGGACTTGCACTTAATATTTTACATGCCAAATAACTTAATAACCGCTGTAAGGATTTTGTGTCTTCGTTAATCGAATATGTCGAAAAAGAGCGTGATAATATAGGGCCACTAATATCTTTCTCTTGTAAGAGAGTTAAAAAAAATACCGAGATATTTAGAAACGTGAAATTGGTTAAAAATAGATTTATAAGGAAACATCCAATAAACTTTGTTAATAATAAACTTTATTATTCTAATCAAGATAAATCATAGCTGCCTATCATAATTTTGACAATAAAACCTGTTTGGAACTGTTTGAAAGCTAGTGGTGTAATAATTTTGTAATTTATTAATATATTTATTAACAATATATTATTGAAATCTCTGTATATTTTGTTTCCTATTCGTTACAATGTATATTCGAGGTGTATTAAAAATACTTTCATATGGTTGTGATCACTAAAACGCAAAGATATTGTTATCTGTTATCATTATATTATGAAGATTTTATAAAATTATTTTATACAGATTATTTTTAATATATCTACAAAAATCTTATCCAAAGCTGTTTCATTCATAGGTTATGTTACTTTCAAGAGATCTAGTACCTGACTTGGAGGGTACTAAGTCACAGGTGACACACCACAGGATACCAAATGACAAAAACATGACAGAATTTTGGAATGGGAATTGGCATTACAGTTTGAATATAAATTTAAAACTTGGTTTGTTTCATGTCGATGCACAAACATAATCAATTTCCCTAAATATTAAATGCCGATTCTGTCTATTATTTGTCATAAAGTAATAATGTTTACTGATATTTTTGATATAAGGATAACCTTACTAAAGCGAGTCAAAATGATAAACAAAAACGATAGACGAGACTGAAGATATCGTGGAACTCATGGAGCAAAGAAGGCAACTGAAAACAACGGAGACGACTATAGAACAAAACAGAAATTAATCAGGCAAAAATAAAAATGGATGGAGGATAAAAGCATTAAAATGAAAGAGTTAGAAGACAAACATGATATTTTCAATAAGTTTTGACACTGATATTTGTCGACTACAAGAAAGAATTATATACCATAAGCCATCAGAAAACGACAGAATGTCGAATAGATTATCGCTACACTAAAATAATCAAATATATCTATCAAATTTATTAAATTAATATATTTTCTAAATTTAAATTAACCTTATTCTATTTTGTTCTATTAGAATTTTTTATTTTGGATTTATATTATTAGAAAAGATAATGCTGATTATCGCAGTCAACAACCGAAATCCGTATCTATCTATTACAATAATTGTATTATTTTATTTATTTATTAAAACCTATTACAGAATTCCGTACCTCCATAATACAATAGGTTGCCATGCTTTTTAGTTGTCAAACTCTCAAACTATTGAGGTTTGTTAAAATAAATGCAAATAATAATTCACATTGTAAAAGATCGAAGATTCGTGTGGTAAAATGAATGCAAATAATTCAAACTGTAAAAGATCAAAATATAGTACTGATCAATTATATAATATATTAAATAATAATTCATCTAAATAGTGAAGATGAATTCAGTGAATCCAATAATAGTGTAGTTCTGTCAGATGAAGACACAGGTATGTTTATTATAAAGTACAGATATGATTCCAATACGAGATTTGAGAAATGAATTCAAAATTATATCATTACTTCATTTGTATACATGTTTTGAAATGTTTATTTCTAATTTCAACCTTTTAGAATATTATCAACAGAATTATTTTGCAGCATTATATTTTCTTGTATAATTGCTTTTCTTTTTTTAGATTTTGAAGAAGAAAATGATTTATAGTTTATTCGTCTTCCGGGTTTGGACCGTGTCATTTGTGAGTGACCCAAAAGTGGGTTCATCTCGACGTTTCGCTACAATTGTATGTAGCTTCTTCAGGAGAACAAAAGGAAAAAGAAAGAAAGAAGAAAACAAAAGAACAGGAAGATGGTAGTTAGCAACGGTAACTCAGTTACTCAACGCAACCAGAGGCGAATACTAACTACCAAGATGGGCATTTGGTCACAGTAACTCAACTACTCAACGCAGCCAGAGGTGAAAACCAAACGCCTGGACAGGGATTCACGTCCAACAGCTCAGAACACTAACGCGTCGAGAGGCGGGAGTGAATCCCTAGTAAATGATTATTCTGGATTGGTTGAAGCGTTACATGGAAATGCAGATAGGAATGAAAATATACAGGAGGAGCCAAATTTAAGTGAGGATTCGTGGAAAGACGATCCTATTGGAATGCAAATTTTAATTTTACCAAATCTTCTTAGTTATTAGTAGATATTCCAGGGACTGGTCTTCCATATGATTTTTTTGCCTTCTTGTAGAAGATTTTTTTTTTTGAGACGATAGTGCAGGAAACAAATGTTATTTTTTATCCGGTGTTGCAGAACATTCACGTATAACTCAATGGAAGCCTGTGTCTGTTAACGAACTTAAAACATTTTTTGGACTTACATTGCATATGGGAACATGGAAAACCAATAGATTCCAGGACTACTGGAATACCGATCCTCTTTTTCAATTGAAATGTTTCCATAATAATATGAGCCGAGATCGTTACTTGGTTATTTTGAGATGTCTACATTTTGCCCGAAATCCAGAAGAGGGTACAACAGAAGATAAAATCTATAAAATTAAACCACTTTTAAATTACTTCAATAGTATAATGGCTGAAATATATCAACCAGGAAAAAATCTCCCTTGATGAAAGTATGGTGTTGTGGCGTGGTAGATTATCTTTTCGAATATATATGAAAAGCAAACGTCACAAATACGGACTTAAATTGTATGTGTTGGCAGAACCCAACGGCTTAGCGCTTCGTATGAAATTATATACAGGACGTTATGACTCTGCAGGTGGAAAAGGCCACTCTGGAAAAGTAGTTTTAGAACTAATGCGAGATAAACTTAACGTTGGGCATTCTCTTTTTATAGATAATTTTTATGGAAGTGTCGATTTAGCAAAAACGCTTTTTTAAAACAATACTTTCTGCACAGGAACTTTAATTTCCAAGAGAAAAGGTAACCCTAAAAAAGTTTTAGAAGCTAAACTAGCACAAGGACAGACAGTAGGACAATACAAAGATGGCATTTTAGTAGGAAAGTGGAGAGATAAAAGAGAAGTTATGTACATATCCACGGAATTTAAAAATGATCTTATCGAAACTGAAAACAAAAGAAACCAAATAAAAATAAAACCCCTACCTATATCCAAACATAATGAGTTTATGAGTGGTGTTGATCGCAAAGATCAAATGCTCGTTTACTATCCATGTGAGCGAAAGACGCTCAGATGGTATAAAAAAATAGGTATTCACATATTTCAAGTTTTGTTGTTAAATTCCTATTATTTCTACAAAAGTTATACTCCGTACACTGGTAGAAAAATGAATTTATATGAATATCGTTTAGAAATTATCAGACATCTTTTAAAAAATTCTGAAACAGTATTAGTTACTCCAGTGTACAAACAACAGACAAGCACAACATTTCAAAAATTTTAAATGTTGATACTAAAGGTCGGATAAAGAGAAAAAGATGTAAGGTATGTTCAAAGAATAATTTAATAAAAAACACGATATTTGAGTGCAGCTTCTGTCCTGAAAAACCTGGCTTTTGTGTTGGAAATTGTTTTGTACAGTATCATAATGATAATAATTTGTAATTATTAATATTCTTATTGTAATATGTTTTCTATTAAAATTTCCAGTAAATGTTTCTTTTGACAATAATGACTTTCTTGCAATTTAAAAATCAAAGACGCACATGTGAGTCACTTAGCATATGGATGAAACATTAATGATCTAGTGCTGGCGACGCCTATGAGCGTCACGCGTTAAAAAAGACAAAAGTTAGCAAAAACTTTATAAATGTATTCTGCCAACAAGAAACCAATTGCAGTTATAACGATTTACAAAAAATACTGTCAGCACCTAGCAGTAGCATATCGTTAGGCTTTAAGCATGCGACGTGTTAATCGCTTAGAGGTTTTTGGGATGTAGTTTTATAGACGAATACTCAAAATACCGTGGACAGATATGCAAACAAACGAAGCAGTTCTTAGCAGAGCAGACGCTGCTTGCGAGTCGATTAACAGCGTTAAATCTTGAAAAATAGCATGGACACATGCTACGATTAAGTAGCTATAATATTCTTCAAGTGATTATGATAGGAAAAAGAAAAGACGAAGTGGAAATGGTATAAAGTAAGCATTTTAGTTAAAACATATCAGATGGCGGATGAAGATAAAGCGAGCAGAAAAACTGTTTAAAATGGCTCAAGATAGGTGTTTAAAATTAATGACTGTGTAAGTAGCCCTCCCAATGAGGGTTTTGGTATCTTTGGCTCGACAATCCTGTGTGGATCCTGGCCTGCTCCAAGATTAGTCGCCGTTTTGTTCGGTTTCTAGCAGTAAGTTGTCATCTTCTGATCTCTAAATCGGCCTTAACTCTATCTTACCACCTAATTCGTCGGTCGCTGCTTCTTTTTCGTATAGGTGTTCCTGTCGTTAGCTTTTTAGCAATCATATTGTCAGGCATGCGTATTATGTATCCAACCAATCTAAGTCGCTGTGTATTAATAAACGTTGCGACATCTGGTTCATTAAAGAGTTGATATCATTCAAAATTTTTTCGTTTGTTTTATTGGTAGTAGTCACTGGTGAGAGAAGGTATGTGAAGCTGTCAACACGTTCGAATATATGATTTCCAAATGATGTTTACCGTTCCTCATTTGCTATAGGATCCTTAGTAACCAATATGTACTTGGTTTTGTCTTCGTTGATGACTAGACCGACCTGTTTCGCCACCGTTTCCAATTCTAGGAAATATTGCTTAAAATCTCGCTTGCTACGCCCTATTATGTCAATGTCATCAGCGTATGCTAAGATTTGTATCGATTTATTGTAAATAGTATCGCCGTCTCTAATTCGTGTGTTTCGGACTGCCTTTTCCAAAAGAATGTTATTATTTCCGAGTCCATCCTTTATCTTAAAGGATCGAAAATTTTCTCTCTGTATCCTAACACTGGCTTTTAAGTTAGACATTGTCATTATCGTTAATCAGATAAGTTTTTATGGTATATCAAACTCATACATTGATTGGTATAGTACTGTTCTCTTGACAATGTCGTATGCGGCCTTGAAGTCAAAGAATAGGTGATGAATTTCAATGTTAAATTCCGTTTTCTCGAGGGTCTGTCGTATTGAATGAATCTGGCCAATTGTTGGTTTTTATGAAGTAATTCCGGCCTGGTATTTTCCAACTATACCCACTGTGTAAACTTGTAGCCTTTCGTAGAGAAAGTGTAGAAGTTCCAACAAACAAACAACAGGAAAGAAATATTATAGGAGACCTAAGTGCATAAACGAGAAAATTGTACATGAAGAGGAATCATAAAGAGAATATCTGAAAAACAAATGTGCCACAGGCTGACAGTTTTATACAAAAGTCCTTAGAAATAATAAATGGTTTCTTCTCACATAAACATATCCATCAGTATACGTGGTG